CTCTTATAACTGTAAGAAGAGACCCGTTAAAGACCTTCTGCTATATAAATACTGTTAAAAGAACTGGAATAACAATATTCTATCATTTTGATTTCATACTTGGCAAAATTCAGTTTAGATGCCATATCGTAATAAAAATCATTATCTGAATCTTCCATTTTAAGTATTCATAATCTTGAAGTTATTTGAATACATGTGATAGTTACTTGTATTGCTTTATAAACTTGATTATGAATATATATTTCTCCTAATATACACATATCAATTAAGTCACCCTATACAAAGTGATTATTTGGATCAAAAATTCTGGGATGTTCTATTTTTTGGAAAGGTAGTGAACTTTTTTCCTGATTTTCAACAGTCTCATTAATGATAAGTTTTAATGAAGATTTTTTTGTACCTTTAGGCGTATCTTGATCTGCACGATGACAATAGTAATGATAAGTTTTTCTGTTTCGGACTACATATAAATTATCATTGCTATGTTCTTAATTACATAGAGAATAATGTGATCCTGTTATATATTTTAAAGTAAATATATCTGAAGACACGGGAGTTGGGTATAAAACATCAAAATTTTTGATATTTATTACATTGAGTAATTTCTCTACATAATTGACTTCAGCTCCAATGATTCCATTATCTGCTTTACTATTTTTCATTATTTCTTTTGGGATTTCTAAGATCAAGCTATTTATAACTGGCACTTTATTATTAGGAGAACGAAGCATAAAATCAAAAATATTCCTATTTTTGGAACCTAATACTTTCTTTATACGTATGTGTTCTCTCATCTTTTTAATAAATTTTGATGTTCTAAGTATTCGTAATGAAAATGATCTTTTATTTGCGATATTGTCAACAATTTCTTTGTCTTGTAAATCCACTGAAAGTTTCTTATAAACAAGTTCAGTAAATACCATGACTTTGACAATATTCTTAAGACGCATTCCAAATGTTGAGATATGATAAGATATTTTTTTTGAATCACTACTAATGGCAATAGTGATAGTAGTTTTGTCCCATTCTGAAAATATATCCAAACAAGTTTTTGTAAAAGCATTATAAAGTGTATTTTTTATCTCTTTATGTGTAAGCTTGAGTTCGATTTTATCAAATTTTCCTCTAGATAAATCAAAATTGATAATAAGGTGAAGTGGGTCATCATTATCAATGAATTTGTGTAATGAATATCCTTGCCATTCACTAAGTATAATTTCTATTCCATCTTCGGTATCTGTACTGAGAAATTGTCTTGGCTTTACACTATCATCATGAATTTTATATATATATTCAATCACACTTTCAGCTTTAAACCCCTGACAGTTGAATGTCCTGTTATTTTTTTCCTCTATCTCTGGCTTGAAATTTCTGAGTTTTCTGAACTCTCTGATCAAGAAGGTGGTGCTTCTGCTTCCGCTGACACGTGATCAATATTTTCTTGAAAGTTTTGGGTATCCATAGTAGGTGTAATAATATCAGATATCTTTTTGTAAATTTATATTATCTGTATGAAAAAAATTCAAAATGAAAATTAATTCCTTACAATAATTAATGTGAAACCCTAGTTATACTATGAGACAAAAAATCATATCAAAAAGATAATGCTTAGAATATATGGCATTTTATCATTGTGAATATATCCTCAAAACTGAAAAAGTTTGTAAGTGAGATAGTTATAGATCCAAAGACTGTGATTACCATTGGAAGTTCCCTCAATGTATACCTTGTAAAGAGTGTGATAAAATTACTCCCTCTACATATGATATGTATGAGAAACATGCAGGTAAATACTGAAATATGAAACATTATTACTGAAAAAAAGCTTGAGAAGATGGTGCAAGATGGATTTGAGGTAAAAGAAAATTAGTGCTTTATGTTCATATACTAAATATATATATATTATCTTAATATGTATAGCTATCACTAAAAATTTTTTGATGACAGTGAAAAAAAAATTGGTGACAAAATTCTTATTAAATTTTACAATTTTGAGTTTATAGAAAGCTTTCTAGATATCTGTCACTAAAGTCACCAAAAAAAATCAAACTTCTTTAGCTTTTTTTCTCTTTTTTATTATGAGTATATCACATATGTATCATACGTATATATTATAAGTATAGAGTTCATGAGTATATATGTATCGACAATATGTATATATATATTGGATACACCATAAGATAAAGTTTTATTTTTTCTTAGATTCTTACTTTATTTTTAGTGACTTTGGTGACAGTATATAAGAACAAGAAAAAAAAGAATTTAAAACTAAAATTTAATAATAAACCTGTCACCAAAGTTGTCATCAAAGATTTTTCAGTGACAGATAGCATTGTCAAATAGCATATACTGACAATATACATATAATATGACCAGTTTACATCACTCACCTTCTTACATATATCATGAATGAAATCGAGTTAGATAACATGTTATTAACATGAGTGAATTGAAACATTTTCTAATGCTAACTAGTATTAAAAATTCCAACAATCAAAATCAGCATACTTTAATATAATGTACTCATTAGCATAATCAGATAGTGTGTATATAACATAACCAGATAGCGTGTATATAGCATATACAATAGCAATTGCACATATATGTTTGATAGCATACCTGATAATGTTTATATAGCATATTCAATAGCAATTATGTGACGTATATTTGATAGCAATTATGTAATATACTCGATAATATTTTTTGATAGCATTATTGATAGCATTTACATGATATATTATTTGGTAGCATTAATTGATAGCATAATCAGATAACATGTATATAGCATAATCAGATAGCATATATATAGCATGTTCAGATAATATTAATTTTTTATTAAAAAGTCTATACAATATAAAAAATGACAATAATACAAGATCACAAGAGCAAGTTAACTCAAGTTATTGATAAAATTTTAATGCAAAAGATTGAGGAAGCAGACTGTAATATTCATGCTACTCATATTACTCAAGCTATCAATAAACTCTTAATATAGGAGATTGGTAAGGGTTTCAAAACTTATATAGAAAAGCTAGAGCAAGATTACAATTCTGAGTCTGAAGATGAATTAAAGAATATTATATCTATTCATAGACCTGTAATTAAGAATCTTGTTACTATCAATGATATATAAATCGCAAGATGTAATTTTACTTTTTTTGTCTGTATCATGATGACAGAAATCTGACACCATCGTGTTATAAATATTGGATCACGACACCTTAGTCTGTGTCATAAAAAATGGATTACGACACCTTAGTCTGTATCATAAAAAATGGATCATGACACCTTAGTCTGTGTCATAAAAAATGGATCACGACACATACCCGAGTGGGAATAATCTAGACTAAGTGAAAATAACATAATTATGTTATTTTCACTGTTTTTATCACATATATATCAAGCTCAATATTAAAACCAAATTTAAAGTCAGACTTAGATAAGAATAAAAATAATAAATTACTAAGAATAGCTTTTTTTCTACGCACTCTGCATTAATATTCAGATTTATTATTGAATTTATAATTTATAATATCTTAATGAATCTTAGATTTTACTATTTTTAGTAATTGATAGAAATTTTTTATTCAATACTTGTCTCACATTACTAAATATTATATTATATTCAAATCTCTTTATAATCAACATTTTCAGAAAAGCAAAATTTGGTAACTATAGAAAGAATATAATTATAAAGATTTTTTTTACTATATTTATATGTAAATGAGAAAGCAAAATAGAGTGATTATAGAAAAATATGACTACAAATGAATGTGACTATAAAGAAATTTGACTATATTAGTATTCTGTCATTTTATTAAAGACTCAGTCATTGTTTTAACTGGCTCAACGTTGTTATTAGAAGTAATCAAATATGGAGTAAATTAGAAGATCATGGAACTTCTTCATGAATAATGAAATGTACGACCTGCTGATTGTTACGTATGCACGCCATATAAATCCAATTAACTAACTCGTGGCATATGCTTCAGATCAGGATCATGTGACTTTGAAATAACTGATGAGTCAAGATTTATCTATAAAAAATTTTTTTCTTAGATAGTTGATACGTTTTCTGGACAGTTAATTTTTCGTATTTTACGCAAAAAGAGGGTAAAAAATGCACTTGTCATCTGAATGTCTCGAAGATCTTAAATACCTTGGTAAGACAAACCGTAAATGTTTCCTTGTGACAATATAGCGAATATAACCTATTGTTCGTAGCCTTTTGGATTACACGCACAAGATTTGGAAGATGAGGTGACGGAGCATAACCGGTACAAAAATGAACTGAAGGCTATAAAAAAGCATTATGACGAAACATCTGACGTCAGGCAGAAGGTGATAATATGATTAAAAGATTTCAAGATATCATTCATTTATCACAACAATATATAGTTCTTGATATCTTAGCGGTGTGGGAGTGTGAGGAATAAGGCATTGTTTGAAGTATATAATTCACGGACTACTTTGCGAACTGCTCGTTCATAGGGGAAAGACTGCTTGTTTGTCTGAGAATTATAATAGTATGCAGTAATTCACGGACTACTTTGCGGACTGCTTGTTCGTAGGGGAAAGACTGCTTGTTTGTCCAAGAAAGACTGCATGCTAGTGTGAGTATGTAACAATTCACGGACTACTTTGCGGACTGCTTGTTCGTAGAGGAAAGACCGCTCGTTTATCCGGGAAAGGTTACTTACTTGTCTGTGGTTGGACCTATGTTCTTCCTCATATGCAAAGCAGAATAGTTTGTCACTAACTCTTTATTTTTTCAAGAATAATAAGAATTCGAAACAGATAAATCGTTTTTGGGATCTACAAGTGAAGAGGCAAAATATTTCTGTGTGAGGAGAAAAGCAAGTTGCTTGAGAAGCAACAAGTAGGTTATCTTAGAAATTTAGCAATTTTTGTTTTGATACATTTCCTAATACCTACAAATGAATTTACGAAAGAATGAACTAGAGAACGAGATTAATCCTGAACAGGTTAATTTATTATTTGACTCTTCATTACGCTTAATTTTGATGTTGGTATACTGAAAGTCCATTTGAATTTTAGACCCGACACATTCTAGATACGACGAGAGAAACCCGAAATCAGGGTGTTTTACTGCAAAAAGAAGTTACGAAAAAGATTGAAAACCACGTGACTGGACATAAGCGAGCTCATGAAGAAAAGCCATCTAACCCACCAAAAAAGAGAAAATCAGGAAAAAAGGTCGGTATATAACTTAAATTTTTGTCCGCAAAAACATTTTTATAAAAGCTGAATTGAGTTAATTCTTTTAGGGGATACATTGCCTGATGGAACCAAAATTGAGAAGCCGGTTCCTATGAAACTGGTACTATCGGATGATGACAGTTCCTTTCAGGATGATGACTCTGATCATGATGATGATTATAACGATGAAAAAGAAGATCTTCCACCAGAAGAAACTCTCGAATTCATCCTTAACGATCAAAGAAGCTGGATCTTGCCCTCGAGACAAAACGTTTGCAACATTATCACTAAGAATATATCCGCAAATGCGATGGCAATCAAAAAGTAGAAAAGATTATCAGCCATAGAGAAAGCTATGGTGCATCACGAATAATTGATTTATCGGCGCACATGAAACAATGGTTCTCTCTTGAAGATAAAAGAATGATTACATGTCATTATTACAAGTTCCCAGCCTGAAAGGTAAAGAAAGTTCCTTTGTTCGGTACACGCAAATACGCATGCTGATTAATTTTTCTTATACAGATGGTAATCGAAAAAAGAATAAACGAAGCATACGAATTTTGGGTTAAAAAGTTTACTAGTTCTGACGTGAACAGCTATGCGCAAGATCAGCAAAATATATTTATATTTGTTAGTACTTTATTCTACTATAAATTGCTTTGATTCTTTATTTTTTTGTGATTTAATTCTGATAATTTTGATGTTTATAGTATTTACAGAAGCGAGGATGGCGATATGTTGGATCCTGCACACACTGAGATTGACGTAATACTAAAAGCATGTTCATATATCGTTGAAGGGCTGAGGAAGAGTCTTGTAGTAAAACAAAGATGGTTGGTATAAATGAAATTTGATTGTTTTGTATTCCATTCTCACAAGTTACTTATGTTACAATTTTATATATTAAAATAAGGGGAGAGTCATTCTGCCCATTGAGCATAAACGCGGGCTATAAAAAGGGTCGCAAGTGTGATGTGCGCTTCTTATTACCATCAGGGGTAGACCTTGGAGAATGGGAGTTTGCGTCAAATGCAACACCGCACAAGTCAATTGGCGATCGTTGTCGATCAGCTCGTATTAATCAGTCGATATTAAATGGTCTGTTGAATCGCAACCTGACCAATGGACAGGTTAAGAAAATCAATGTGCCCTTTTTACAGATTGCGGGTACGAATGGGCAGATGTTAATCGAGGATTTAACTAAGGGTTTCTATGTTGTCTTTCCGGCATTTTAATACTATTGAATAAATAATAAAGATTTTCACTAGCAAAATAATTGTTTCCGTTCAAAGTGTGGCACGTGATAATTCCGAATTTTTATTGAGATCTCAACTCTACTAAATGAACTTCGATCGGTTAATAAATCAAGGTTAAGCTTATAATACGTTTCTTCCATGTAACGATTACATATCGACACGGTTGATAAAAATAGTGATTTTCCTATATATTTATATGGATCACATTGCGATCACGGCCCATCACGGTTGATTACAAATTCGATGGTGAGATTGCGAGTTCCATCGGGTACTGAAAGTATCGTCAAAATTGTTCTCTTAATTTGGCAAGTCCGATAGTATGCAGGGATCATGAACTTATATTTCTGTAATTAGATTTTATATAAATACCAATGCGACGCTTTACTTTTTCCTTCACTCTCATCCCTCAAATTACGAACAATGATACAAACAATATTTATACCCATATATCTCGCTATAAACAATATCAAATATGCATCTTTCTTATTCTTATCATATATATTGCTCAGTGTGAGCTGGTATAAAGTGCCAAAAATTTCACAAAATATACATTATTCAAAGAGATGGTTTCAGAACCTAATATCACTAAAATTGAATCTGGTTTTAAGTATCAATATCAAATCAAATCTATAGGTCTAAATCTCTAAACATGATATAAATCACATAATCTTAAAATATTATAAAACACTTAATTGTTAAATATGATTTACACAGATAAGTGTCCAGTTTTAAATAATATTAATTGTGTGATAATTGCCAATTTCCAGCAATTCAAGATAAAGAAATCCCATTTGATTGGAACAAATCTGGAATCAGTTAATATACTATAAAAATAATAATTATTTGTTTAATAATAAGAAATGATATCTTGTTACAAGTAAAATGAAATTTTTAAAAGAATATAAAAATAGATTATAAACACAATTATATATTATTTTTGTGATCAGCTTGTTTATATTAATAGAAGAGTAGAATATAAATTATATTACAATTATAAAATGGAAGAACATTGGTATACAAATTATATCAGAAATAGATATTCTAATATTAGCTTCAAAAAGTATATAGAGTTTAAACAAGAATCTAAACTTGATATTTATACACAGTTAGCTATTCATTATTATAAATTATGAATAGAGAATCTTATCAGAAGGATCAAACATATTCTAAAGATAACAAAAAAGATTCAAGCTATAAAAATTATATAATAAAAATAATTAGAGTATTTTTACAAACCTAATAACATAATAATCACATAGTTAGCTAAACATTACAAACTCTTATGAATGAAGATGGCATGGTAACTATTGCAACATGATGACAAATAAAGCATCACCTAGTTGCAACTAGTTGCAGTTTATAAAATTTTGGAGTTGCAACTAAGGTTGCTTGCCGAAATCCCTTAGTGACTATCTAAATTCTGTCGAAATTATAATAAACTATTAGTAAATAACCCGTCGAAATTCTGACGAATTTTGAAACCCGTCGTAACCGAAATTATGTCGAAATTCTAATTAACAATTAGTGTGTAACCCGTCGAAATTATGACGATATTTTTCTGAAAGGATTTAGGCAAGCATCCTTAGTTGCAACATGTTGTAACAGATGACAAATAAGTATTATATACTTGCTGTGCCATCTCTACTTATGGATCATTTGAGAAAAAATGTATTAAGTTAATAATATATAACTTATTATAAATTTAATAATATATAATATTTATATTTATTTATTTGATTTATTTTAATAACTTATTTATATATATAGTCAAATTTCTTTATACTCATGTTCATTTATAGTTACATTCCTTTATAACTACTCTATTTTATTTTATTATTTGATTTTTTTTTAATTCTTATTTATATTTGTAAGCTAATTCTCAAATTAATAAGCAAATCTATAATAATAATTTATTTTATTTTATATTATTATAAAAACAGAAAAAATATCAAAAGTAATTATTATCTTCAAATTATTGAGCATACTCTCAAAAAACATATTCTTTATTTTAATAACAAAATCTTCACCAATTACAAATTATAAAATTTCATTTTTTTTATTACTTAACATACAAAATAAACTTGCTTGCTATATTTAAATATCTTTAAATTTTCATATATTCTGATAGATTTTATTATACAAAGTACATGAATTAGCTTGTTGACTCGAATATTCTTAAATAAACTTGTTTATCAACTTCTAGAATTCATGGTTTTTTTCTCAAAATAACGGTTTAATATAATTGAAAATTTATCAAAATTTATACATAATGATAATGTGATTTAAAAAAATAAAATAGCAAAATAAGACTGTACAAAAAAAGACAAATAATGTTTTGAGAACTTTTTTTAACACTAAAAGATTTTTATTCACATTACAAAAGTTACTACATATCAATTTCTTTATTGACTGGAGGATTAATAAAGTAGTTAATAAGTTAATAATTTGAATTAATAACTTATATCATTAGAGAAGTACCTTTCTCTTCACCACGAACGCTGCCGACGTAACCACAATTGAATGAGAGGTCACATACGACTTCAAACTTGCTTGACATTCGTTATTAGTACTTCCCAGTGTTCACACGTTTCAAACGTAGTATTCGCCACTTACGGCTGCGGAAAATTAAAATGCACAAAGCTCGTCCGCTTATGCATTGTCCTTGATGACCTCGTGTTTCGGACGGCTCAATCAAAAACGAAATTTTATATGGCGTGTCCAGGCATAAATTCGCCACCGCTCCAGACTATTGACGTTATCATCATCCCAGATTCAACAGTGGGAAATGGGCGATCGAACAGTACACAAGATGTCCAAGGCGGAGATCGGTCTACATGTGTGGGTGAATCGAAAGTTGGAAGGGAAAAAGGTTTTAGGTGTAGAGGTTTCGGCTTGTGTAGAGATATAAATAGCTCCCGTGGAATCTTCAGCGGGTTTTACATAATGGAGTTATACATGTATATGGTTGACTGTCATTCGTTCGTACGTGAAGTATCTATCAAAGTGATAGCAAATAGTAATATTAATACGATATCATGTTAATGTCAGTATAATGTCAACGTCAATGTTAATACAAAGAACAGCAAATTCCGTGGCAGATTGATTAATAAATGATACGGAATTTGAAACGAAAACTGCGGAAAAACAAATACTTTATTTACTTGGGAAAATTCTTTAGATGTTCATGTAAATACAGAAAGATTGATATGGTTCTCAAACCACAAAAGCTCCATTAAACTTACTGCATTTGTATCATTTATTATATGCTATTAATGGAAAGTAGTCTTTGTGAATTGTTGTGAATCTGTGTGAATAAATTACGTGCATCTTCCAGTTTTTTTTTGGGCAAACACTTTGTTGTTCCCTTATAAGGAAATTTTGACATTCTTTTTTTGTGTAGCATTAGAAAAAAACTAAACGAATAGAAAAACCAGAATTATTTTCTCATAGAAACAGAATGGCAATTTATCCGATATCATTGTGGACAAAAGTAGCGATTAAATGATACTGGGCGGATCAATTCTTTGTTTTTAGATTATAAAGAATAAATATATATTATATAAGCTAAATGAAAGAATCTAACCAAATGGAGAAGAACCGGAAACTTTTTGGGGTGATAACAAAGGAAAAAAATTGTGTGTGCAAGATCAGCCACAATTTGTTAACGAAATCATTTGATAATACGTAATGGTTTTTTTATTTTTAATTGATTGGATCAAATTTTACCCAAACGATTTATTATTTTACATTATTGATTACATGTATAAGATTATCGGTGAAAAAAATGATATTTTCAATGAAGCATATTCATAATGATATTAACAATTGTTTCTCATTTGATCAAGCTTATATATCTGTTGCTAATGCAATATCCGCCAATGTGTGAAGAGGGTTAGTATCATCAATACTCATAGGTGATGACGGAGCCGTGCTAGCTGAACTGGGTGTACTACTAGTGACAGTGGTTTCATTGGATGATTTAATATCATTTGAGGAGGAAGAACACGAAGAAATGACTTTTATTGGTATTTTTCGCACGATTGGATAAGGTGTAAATGAATGAGGTGGTTTTCTTAGGGACGATGACGACGCACAGCGTAATAAATCCGATGATGATGATTTCTGTTTTACCAAACGAAAAGCTGATGCACGAGTTGGCGAAGACGGCGAAGACGACGATGATTTTGAAGAGTGAATTTCGTGCTCTTCATTTTTCTCTTGCTTTGGCTCACGATGTTGATGTTGATGTTGTTGATGAGTGAATGCGCGAGGATCTGATACAATTGGATCTCTGAAATCCAAAATAGTTTGTCTTTTAATTTTGTGTTTATTATTACAATTGTTTACTAATTTTTCGTCGGAATTAGCACTTGAAGGAATTTCAACTTCACTATTGCTATGGTAATTATTATTATTATTATTATTATTATTATTATTATTATTATTATTACTATTATTATCGTTGTCAATGGTTGTAGTTGTGACAGCATTCCATAAATGAGGTACAGAAGCAGCTTTCTCCCAAGGTTTCTCTTCTTTCTCTTCACTTGATTTATTTTTCAAATTTCGTTTTCTCGAGTTTGGTTTATACTGATAATCGGGAAACACGTCCGCATGAATAAGATTTCCCACGAACGCCAAAATTGTGAAAAAATTCCGCTTCTCTTGTGCTTCGCTGTTCCATCGCTGTGATGCAATTCTCGACACATCTTGAAAATGAGTATTCGGATAATTGATTGAAAGTTCAGCAGACACTTCCTTCCGATAAATCACGTAATCGTTTTGTGGTCGCTGAATTGTTTTTCGTGCGCGAGATTGCTTACACGGCGCTAGTAGTTCTTCGAGTGTTAAAAATGTGTGCGGAATCGGAATTCCTTTCTTGAATATCTCGCTTTCGATGCGGACCAGTGTGCGTTCTTGCCAAAATTTTTCCCACTTGTGTTTTGGTTTTTCAATACGAGAATTTTTGGAGTTACTCCTGTTGTTATTGCCGGTATGATTATTATGGTTCATGTTATTGTCATTAGAATCGACTACTTTTTTCGCTTGCGAGATTTGCATTGTTTGTTAAAGAAAATTTTAAAGCGTAGAAAATTTAAAACGTATGATTGTTATTTTTCTATATAATGATGAGTTTGACCAAAAATCATCAATAATAGAAAGTCCACCAACTTCATTTATATATTGTTGTGCGTGGTGACTGGTTATTTATAATCGTAGTAACCGGTAATAGTAACAGTGTTGTTATTAGAATACGTTCCGCACTCTTAAAAAAGGGGAATATACATTGTCTGTCCTACGTATTATCTTTTACCAATTTCCCAATCGGGGAAGAATGTACATGTACAAATAAATTTATTATTTACGTACTTCAACAAAAACGACGAGCATTTACTGGGTATTAACGTAAAGCGAGAAAACAAAGTTAGATGTCCGTAAATGGGAAGAATGGGACGGAATTTATTATCTAGGAACCAATTATTGACTATCCGATTTGTAACGTAATACGGTTAGTTTATTTTAGATGGCAGTGGTTTTCGTTAATGACTCTGTTGAAACAACTGTAACATGTATAGAAATAAGAAAACAAATAACAAAACGCATATACTCTTTGAAAAGAAAATCATACTACAAATTTGGATTTCAAAGTAAAAACGTAGTCGTTATCTCTGACGTTAATTGTTCCCAAAAAATGAAACAATTATGATCCAATGATAAGAGAAAGAGATGGGGTCTTTCACATGCAGTAAAGACGATATTAAACGAGTTAAGATTTCTAACGATTATTCTTCTTTTCACATGCGTGTTAAATTAATATTGTGAAATAATGGCATTGCTTTTGTCGGATAACGACATTTTTTACCTTTGTCGGATAACGACATTTTTTACCTTTGTCGGATAACGATATTTTTATGCTTGTCGTTATACGACATTTTTGTGTTTGTCGTATAATGACATTTTTATTACAGTACTATATATTCTTTATTTATACGAGTGTGTTTTCTAGCAGCATGAATGTCTGGTTAGCGGACATTGTCATTGTTGTTCGGATTCTCTCCTTAAGCAAGTCTTTGAATAGTTTCTATTTCACAAAGCGGACATTGTCATTGTCTCCCTGAGCCAGTCCTTGTTCTCTGATTCTTTAACTCTTGAAGGTTTGCTATTATGATGGTAAGAGAACTTTGATCAGTTGATAGACCAAAAAATTATTACATTCTAATATTTTTGCTCTAGCTGAAATTAATAATATTGCTAATATTATTAATTGAATTTGTTTATATTCGTATAATATGTTTCAAATACTAGAAGCAAACGTTTAACTAATTATATTGAGAAACACAATATAGGAGAGAAGGACAACTGGACACGAGATATAATCATATCTTTGAATTACATGTAAAACAAGTTTTAATTTATAATTACTTGACACATACTATGATACCGCATAGCAAATGGACCAACTGGACTTATAGAAAAAACTGCGCCATTGGATACACGTATAAAATTTTATAGGTCCAGTTTGAAGTATGGCAACTCTGCGCCTAAAGTACCCTCACCTATACTTCTTGATTTTTCTGTCAAATGAATAATTCAAGATTCACGGTGCAATTTCTTCAAAAGTTTTTATTATTAAAAGAATG